CAGGCATAAAAAAATATTCACTTCATTCACGGTTTTTAACTAAAAAAAGCCATGGCCACAAGACCATTCTTTTTTACTTTGCTTGTTAGTTAAAGTTTATTACCTTTTATCGTGTACACAAGAACTGAAAAAAAAATAAAAAAAAAAAAAAAAAAAAAAAAAAAAACATTCCTATGATTGGTTTGCAAAGAAATTTCTTTGAATTTATTATTCTAATCTTTCTGAAAATTTTGGAAAATTGATTACGTGTATGACCAATATAATTACTGTACATTTAGACAATTCAATAAAATATGTATAGTTACAAATTAAATTCAAAAAAATTTGTATAGTTACAAATATTAATAAAAAGCTGACGTGGCGTATTTGTTAAGTTTTAGTTTACTTTCTGAAGATGACTGTAATATAGGAGAAACATGTTTATTAAATCTTGGGTTATTGCATCACTTTGCAGCCAAAAAGTGTCCCCTTGGTGTCCTGAATCTTCATTTTTTGTGATGTTTAGATCTCAAAAAACATTTTTATATTAAGAATGCAAGTTATTTTACTATTTTATTGAACTATATATGAATATCTATTGAAGTACAGAAGTTTACAGAAAAGGTATCAACCTACATTATAAGCTAATGTGGCGTGTTAAGTTTTTAGTTCTTTTAGTTTACTTTCTGAAGATGACTGTAATATACTGTAGGAGAAACATGTTTATTAAATCTTGGGTTATTGCTATTAAATTTGTATTGTTTATTATCCTTTCGATCGTTTGGATCTATTATTCATGATTTGAGTTAAAACAGCTATGTTAAGGTGAATGTAGAAGACTGGAAAAACTTCTCAAAAAATGCGGAAAAGCAAAATTTCTTGAACAATGATTAAATACCTGAGCATGATATTGTGATTTTTCTTCGTCTGTTGAGGATGATGTTCCTTTGATGGATGACCTTGTAGTTACAGGTGACCCTACAAAATGATCAAACATCTTAGGTTACTGTATGCCATTCATCTTATATGTAAAGCCCTGTGCAAAATATCAAGCTTTTTTTAACAAAAAACTGATGTATGCCCATATATAGTCATGATGTACCTATATATGGTAATGATGTGATGTCATCATGACCATATTTAGGCGTGTCGCATGTTTTTTGTCAAATAAAATTTAATAGTCATGGACAGGGCTTAAAACTGGAAATAATATTTACATAGGAAAAATTAAAAATCATAGATGCACACTAATATTGAAGTTTTAAATTCTGGAGTAAAATTATAATAATTAAAAAATTTCAAATTAACAAAAATTTAAGTTCAAATAGTTTCATCTGGTTTCTATGATGTATGAACATGCTTATTTTATTAGGCTCTGTCCACACTATCAAATTTCCTTGAACAAAAAACTATTGTATGCCCATATACAGTCATGATGTGCCTATATATGGCCATGATATGATGTAATCATGACCATATTAAGGCATGTCACATGTAATACATGTAGCCTATCCTAGTCTACACAGCCTATAGTAGACAATACAGTAGATACCTATAATACCGCAAAATACTGCAGCCATTTAGCAAACTACAGCAGCTGATATTGCAGCTGAGAATTCTTCATCGATCTTGCGATATCTCTTTGATTTACTATCTATGCTCTTCCTCTTCTTCTATTCTCCAATGACTCATATCAAACATTCCTCTATTGATTCATGGTCATCCATAGTTCTACAACTTTCAAATCTAATCAGTATCTCACCAAAAAAAAATTAAAGTAAACAACTAGAAAATTTAGGTTGATCCAGGGGAAGAGCAAAAGTTACAGTGCAGAATATTTCTTAGTGGTGAATTAGGTAGAAGGCTTAGTATGCATTACCAGGGGACAATCCCTGTTTCTGTACAATGTGTGTTCTGTAATGTGCACATAGGCAGCATTGTACTGTACACAAGAGCAGCGGCTTCTTTCTAAAACTTTGCATGCTATCACATATATTTCAAGGGAGAGGACATGCAGCCTTAAGTCCGAAACAAACAAGGAACACACAGTTTTACAAGACTGTATGCTGTTTAATAAATATCAATGAATTGACATTTTTCAATGAAAGTTTATTAGGAAAATATTAGGAGTTAAATAGTATAAAATCAGAAATGATGAATTATACGAGAAAGCAAAAGAAATGGAATGGAACATCTCAATTAAAAGAAAAAGACTGACATGGTACGACCACATGCATAAGGAACTCCAGCACAGATTGCTCTAGGAGATCCCTGGACTACTGTACTACATAATACATAAAGTATAGGCCTAAACTTGTACATGTGTGACTGGTTTTTGTATTGTGAAAAATTATGTACATTTAAGCTGCTTTCTTTTGGGACTAACAGTTGAATTAACAGTTGCTTTTCAGAGATATATTTTACCCAGCAAATATTTTATAGTATATAAAATGCATCTAAAAAATTACTCTAAAGTTAAAAAACCAGCGGGAAACCTAAATCAAATTGGCTAGGAAACATAAAGGAACAGAAAATTTCACAGATGGTCAATACACAGTTCACCAAAGACCACATAGGCTGGCTTGAAAATGTGAAATGTTGAAAGACGAAAGGCGTTTAGGAGAGAATGCATTGATTATTATTCACTTTAAGATACTAGTCTCATAACACTGCGAGAATATGGACTGATGCTGATCACAGGTATGTTCATAATTATGATTAACTTTAAACAACAATAAGAAAGTACTCAGGGTATTGAAAGATTCCCATTATTGTCGTGAATCACGATGGCATGTACTTCCATACTTGGAGTATGCATTATAATTTCTTATCTGAGATTAATCAGTTGACCTTTCGGTAAACAATAATAAAGGGCAGAACATCACACTAACACCAAAAAAATCGCAAAAAAAAAAATCAATTTTATCACCTTTCCAATTTAGATTTTAACTATGAAATAATCTATTATAAAATCAAATAATTACTAAACATGTTAGGAATAAATGTCAGGAACCACCATCTTTTTGTAACCAAATTCATTTACAAATTTCAGAATCAAGATACATGATCGCAATCAATCAGGTAACTTGCAATAATTTCAATTATCTTTTAAAAAAGTATTTTTCCTAAACTATGCCATATTATTGTGGGAAATGTCCAGCTTCGTTAGCCTTGGCCAGAAACCTAATAAATACAACCTTAATCATTGAATACATCAATTTTAACTTCAAATAATTAAATTCTCCAGAAACCCACAAGATTATAATTTATATACAAAAAAACTGCCAATCTTTTTTTCAAGTACTGTAGCCCCATAAAAGTATCTTTACAAACATCCTACAAATGAGTTATTTTAGTCTACACAAAGTTAATAATTACTACAATAAAAGATTTGCCTTTTATATTGTAAATCCAAACAGTTTCCCATCACTGTTGTCACTCAAACAACCTCCTAACAGTAAGTGCCAACCCACTAGTTTTAAGTATGAGGATGCAACACAAACAGTACTTCTCTCCTAAAGTGGCGGATTGGGGGGGGGGGGGAGAGCTGGGCCCCATAAATTGATACAAAATATAATAAATATAGAGAAAAAATAAAATTATATTCAAATATAAATTTGAGAGTGCCATTTCCGGCCATCTAGTTGTAAATGGTCTTACGTCAGCCCCAACCATGATTGGGCTGCGGTGGTCCAGACCCTTCGTGTGGAAGTCCTTCACTGGGCCACCTCTATTTTGAATTCCTGGATCTGCCACTGAACTGTAGTTATTATTATAATGCATGAGTTGTATCTTTTATCATAGTAAAAGATATTTTATTTCATAAAACGTCACAACATTATACAATTAAACATACTAACCATGTAATATGTATCAATACATACTTCCTGATTTCAATAGGGCTACAATAATTATAAAGAGACCTATTAGTCTTTTTTCTTAATCTTGTTTTAGGGTTATCCACCTGCCAGTCTGAACTAAGTGGATTTTCTCAAGCCGGGCTGTGTTCCTATAGTAACCAGGCCTGGTGTGCCATAGTGTCCTTTCCTAAGCCGGGCTTTTTGCGTGCAATGTCTCGGAACTCGTTTCCTGGTTACGGTATATATGCAAATTCTCGCGTCTGGCTAATTAAGCTAGTCTGAACGGCGGGCAAAGGTAAGCCGACAATGCCGTAACCAGGATTTTTAAACTGTGTGGGACAATATGTGAGGTCTCACCACGAAATGAGGCCGATTTTCTCAAAACCTGGTTCTCATACACCTAAAGTTTAAATCTCTAACATCTCTAAATCTATTTATCCTAGGGAAGCCATTCAAAGACCAAATTAAAGCTTATAATGTGATCTACCAAAATGTAATATTAACTCATTTTTTGATTTTCTAACGATGAGACTCATTTTGTAGTGAGACCTCACATATGAGAGTTGACCCACTTTATGTGTAAATTCAAAGTCCCATTTTACGCAAAAATATGGATTATCTGGACCAATTTTCTTAAAAATTGACCCACTTTACGTAAAATATAAAGATATCTGGACCCATTTTCTTAAAAGTTGATCCATTTTACGTAAAATATGAGAAATCTCGACCCATTTTTTAAATGTGGACCCATTCTTTGTAGACACAATAGGAAAATTGTGTGGGACTGTCCCAACTGTCCCAATAGCTGGCTATGGCATTGTAATGTAAGCCTGGCTTATCTTCAAGTCTGAATGTAGCCTAAGCTATCTAATCGTTTGTACTGTTCCTTGATTCTTTGTATTGTGAAAAATGTGAGATATTAAATGTGAAATGTGTATTAAATTACAAATCATACAGTATTATTTTTTATTAAGTATTAAGTATTTACAGGATTTTGAACCTGAAACCTGTATTTTTTAGTACATCTAAAAAAATTATTTACATACTGCAGTACTCCATTTCACATTAATAGAAAACATTATAGCATTATATAGCATAAGCTTTCACATTACAGCATTGTTTGGCCTTTATCAGTGATCTACTAATTACACATTGACATTTAAACTGAAGTGTCTAATGGGTCCGCATGTGCTGCGATAATTAATTTAGTTGATGAAGGTGTTGGCAAATGTAGTCAATGACATCACAGTATATACACAATGATTTGTTCATCAACAATTTTACGTTTTCTTTCCCTCTTCCAACATATCAATAAATTGAGACAAATTCTTTGTTTAACCTGGTACATACAGTATTAGAATAGAATAGATATAGCACTGGTATCCACCATCTTCGGAGTCATTTTGTGGACATCTATTCAATCAATATCCAAAAAGTGGGGCTTTGGGGAAGGGTCCACTGGCAAGTATACGTCATATAAAAGAAATAAAGAAAGAGATATAAAAAAAATATAAAGATATAATGAAACCAGAGCCTTGCAGGCGTCAACGTTCCTATGCATGATACATGACTTTAAGAAGATTATATACGTATAGATATATATATAAAATATATATACATATATATATATACATGTACGTATATATATATATTTATATATATGTATACATATATATATTTATATATATATACATACATATATATACATATATGTTTGTGTGTGTATATATACTTATATATAAGTATATAAGAATATAAGTGCATATATACGAAGTATATATATAGGCCTATATAAGTATATATGTATGTGTATATATGTATATATATATGTATGTATATATATATATATTACGTATATATAAGTATGTATATGTATATATATGTGTATATATATATAAGTTTGTATATATATGTATATATATAATATATAAGTATGTATATATGTTATAATGCATATATGTATGTATATATATATATAAATATATATATGTATA